GGTCCAGGTCATTTGCCGCAGGGATGTCCAGCATCGCCCAGTGAAGAAACAACCACGCGTTCCGTAGCGGGCAACACTCGCTCCGTCTGACACAAGCTGGCTGGTGGTGAGCACGGGCACTAAGCGATGTTTTTCTTAGATTGCCACGCAACTTGCTAAGTGCTCTATACTTGAGTTTTTCAACATGTCGCAGCATTGTAGCGAGGTCGTTAATGAGCGGAAAAATAGGGCAGTAAAATGAGACGGCGTTCACATTGTTACGGACCAATTAACTCACAAAGTATGACAGCAAAAATTATATCGAGGCGAAGCATGCTGTAGGATTGCGTTGTGAGTTCAGATAGCGAAATTTTGGTTTGAAGCGGGAACAAACGCACGCACGCACGCACGCACGCACACACACACGCACGCACACACACACACACACACGCCCGCACAACACACACACACACACACACACACACACACACACACACACACACACACACACACACACACACACACACACACACACACACACACACACACACACACACACACACACACACACACACACACACACACACACACACACACACACACACACACACACACACACACACACACACACACACATACACACACACACACACACACACACACACACACACACACACACACACACACACACACACACACACACACACACACACACACACACACACACACACACACACACACACACACACACACACACACACACACACACACACACACACACACACACACACACACTCATTCAACGGAAGCGTATGGTGAAGTACCTTTTCTAATACGGGAATCCTGCAGTCCCTATGCGTGGTGCTATATAAACTATTCGTGCCCGAAATGTGAGTGAAAACAAGCCGCGTTCCTTTCATTCTTTCCTGATCTAGTCGAAGCGCTCAACGGCTAAGCAGGGGTGGTGCTGACCTCGGCTGCGCGGGTGCCCAGCGCCCATTCTCCAGCGCTGAGTGGTCTGTCGCTCGCAGAGTGACCACTCGCCTGCCCCTTCCCCCTCCCCCGCCTGTCTCTTCCCCCTCCCCCGCCCCTGACGACCCGCATCAAGAGTCTGCCGATTGAGTTAGACCGGCGGCGGCCTGAACCCCGTGCCGGGCCCCGCTGTGACCCCGGGTCGTCAGAGATGGCCCCAGGCGTCCACTCAGGCCTTAGTTCGGAGCGCACCCCTGAGGCGCGAACGTGACTGCAGCAGCCGCCAGCCAATCAGCGCCAGCCAGCGGCGGGCGGCGAGCTGGTGTTCAGACCTCCAGCCTCGGGCCGGGATGCTGAGGACCCAACGGTCACGTTCGCAGTCATTCTTGTCAACATCATCCAACGCGCTACAGCTGTGGCAGCGGGCTGCCTCTCAAATTGCCTTCCCCCGACAGCTCGCCAATTCTACGACGTGATTTGGCATGCAGCAAAGTCCGCGCGACAACTTTCGCCTGCCTTGGCATTGAACTGAACCCGGTGCGCTCGCCCTGTTGACTCGGTTGCCAAATAACCGGAACTTCGTCCCAATCTCGGACCCGGATATTGGGCATAGAAGCAAAATGGGAGGACGCGACTGTCAAGCTCGCCTCGCTGTTCTATCCTTCTGGTTGTGACAGAAAAGGGTCAGCCTTATCACGTCCCCTGGTCCGCCGTTTCCGAGCCGAGCGGTGCTTTGACACGATTAAGTCACTGAGGGCGTGCTGCAAAAGTGATTTCTTAATCCTAAGATTGACGCGAGCCTCTCAATTAATCATTTGATGGCACGGCGACGGGTTGTGTAGCTTACTGTGCCGTGATAGCGATCATTACTTAAGATATCCATGGCTAAATAACCGTGGACGTCTTGTTTGTGGAAGACGCGATCGAGCCAACAAAATACGTCACTTAAACACATCTCAATGCTTGTGATAACATGTCAGGTGCGACAACACCAACATGCGTTGCTTAAATGCAGTATACAGGTAAAGCGTTGCAAAACAATCAGACTCAGTGTTAAGGCACGGGTTCCCTGGCAAACGAAGCGCTTTTGTGAGGAGCAATGAACACATCATACAATAAGAGGTCGAAAAACCGTGCGATCTGGGATTAAGACGAAACTTGTATCAAGCTTAGGTGTAGGTCAAGCCAACACCTGACCTCATACCAAGCACATTTTTGGCTGCAATATGCCCGTTTCCCTCATGTATGCAAATTTGATGTTTCCTAATTGCTTGCAGCTGTATAAATGCAGATGACCAACGACTTGAGCATGGCATATCAGATAGCTCTTTCACAGAGACCCGGTATTGCAACGATTTCCTTACTCACGTATGTCTGTATTCACACCATGCCGCATCCACTGCACGCGGCATATTTGTGAGCCGTGCTTATATAATGCATTTGGCTCCTACTTCCTAGTGCCCTCAAATATCCGGTAAACATAAGTTAATTTCTCCATGATGCAATGTTTAGCGGGTAAATCATGAACAGAAGACAACTATGTAACGCAAACCGTTCACAGCACATACGCATTTCCCGATAGCTTTGGCCAGTCCGGTGATAACACAGCCTGCCGCCAGTGAGCGGTAACGGCCTGTGCCCGTCACCTGCCAGGTCCCAGCGTCAGGTCCCCAGAGCCAGGTCCCGGCCTCAGTTCTCGGCACCAAATCCCAGCTTCGGGCCCCGGCGTCAGGTCCTGGCGCCAGATCCTAGCCCCAGATCCCGGCGCCGGCTCCAGAGGCAGGTCCCTGCGTCAGGTCCCGGCACCAAGCTCCGGCGCCAGGTCCCAGCTTCAGGTCTCAACACCAGGCCCCGGCGCCAGGTCCTAGCTCCAGATCCCGGGGCCAGGTTCCGGCCTCAGTTCCCGGCACCAAATCCCGGCTTCGGGCCCGGCGTCAGGTCCTGGCGCCAGGCCCTAGTTCCAGATCCCGGCGCCGGGCCCCAGAGTCAGGTCCCTGCGTCAGGTCCCGGCGCCAGGGCGCCGGCAGCCCCGGTGGCCGTGTGGCCGCCGCCCGCTGCGGCGCCCGGCGGGTGAGCGGTGTGGCGCTGTCGCCGACCCCCATTACCTCGCCGGTACAGCGGCCGTCCGCCAGATAAGCGCTGGGACAGCAGCGAGGGAAAAAACCGTGTCGTCCCAACCGTTACGCGCGGGTGCCATCCCTCAGCAACGCGTCCGCCCCACGTCCGCACGCCGGCTAAACACTCGCCGCACGACGACCGGCGCGGCGTCCCGCTCCGCGGTCACGACAATGAATCCTCGGCGGCAGACAGCTGGGACCGACACGGCAGTCTGCTCATTACGCGCAGTGCGACCGACGTGCAGCCTCGTCATTTGACCCCTCCCCTCCCCACCCCCCTAATGACGGCCGTTCGACGGTCCCGACTAGCGACGCGGAGCGCTAGCGCTGTCCCGGCGGGGGACGCCAGCCGCCGCCGGCTGGGGGTTGAGCGGGCCCGCCTGGGAGGCGGCCGCCGGCGGTCCGCGAAGACTGATGTCGCAGCTGCCGGCGAAGGGCCACCGCCCGCGGCACGCTCCTCGTAATTGTCCGGCTGGACAGAGCGCGGGCACGTGCGGCGTGTGCTGTTCGCGATAAGCGGCGGCGTGGAAGACCGCAGCTCGGGAGGTGGTTGTCAACAACAGCGCCAGCGCCGCGTGCTGGCTGTACGCGCATGACAGTCCGAGTAGAAATAGACTATCATCCGTTCTTCCTCACGAGAGGCATGCTGTCCTGTCTGCCCAGTGTGGTCACAAGCATATACTGCGTTCACAAATGCATGACCCCATTACATCCCTGCAAACGACACCGCAAGCAACAGAGCGCGATTCGACGGCCCCAGTGCTCAGTATTTACGATGCAATTTTGATAGCAACTCATTTCACAACAGTGTAGGAAGCTGTTCACAGAAGGTCACTAGCATGATTCAACAAGCCGTTTGACAAACAGAAGTGCTGGGCATGTATTCGCACCAGTCTAACTAAGAATGAATAATGCATAAGGCAGACATCTTCGCACATGTGCTGCATATCAGTTTTTGACACAGAGCTTTAGACGCCAGCGCGCCGGCGTCGCAGCGCGGCAGGAATAAGTAAGCCGTTACAGTGCTGGTGTTTTTTTTTTAACTAAGTCGAGTGTATAAGAACATCTCCAAAAACACCCCCAATGTATGGGATGCTATTGGAATCTTGTGATGCCTTAGTTAATCATATTATCATCTTAATATGATGTTCCTGGTTATGCTCACTGCAGTACTTTTCTAAGTCCGTGGGATAGGGGCACTATTTGCAGTACTACATCACCACTGTAAATGCTGCATATGATAAAAAGATATTGTCTTCGGTTAATGGGCTGTTGAATCTGAGAGCAGCAAGTTAGAGTCCTTACTGAGAGGACCGGGAGTAAGCGCGGAGGTTTGACCATGCACTGGGTCTCGGTGCTCTCCGCGTCTCGGTTTGTCCCAAATATACATTAGGATCTCCTATCCCATCTTGGTAACTTCCCTTTGCAGCCATGTACTTATCGTAATTCGCACGTTATGAAAGCTGTAATAGTGCAACACGGGTACTCTTTTCACTCTACCATTATGAGACAAGCGCCTAGTTTGGTGGCAAATCTCAAATGGGGGCAAACTAGGAGAAGCAGGAGTGAAACCAGTACTGGCAGGGACATAAAAAGCCGGTAAATTTTCATGCGTGAGCGTTTTGTTTCGCCATCATGTGCGCAATAGCATTTAACACCTGCGAATTCGGCCACATGGAGCTTTCTCATATAGTACCTAAAAAAGGCTATGAATAACTTTGTGATGGCGAAACAAATACGCTTCCGTACTCGAATATATCAGCTATTTTGATAGGCCTGATAACAAACGATGAGTATTGGCCTTGTTTATCCCAGTTTTCGTGTACTGAAAGGTCCATCTCCAGTGGTGCTAACTACGAATTACAACATCGACAGTTACAAATTGCATTTAAATTGCATTACAATGTCGTGTTGCTAAAAGAAATCGCTTACCTGACACAGGAGCCAAGCACATCAGCAGAGAGGCGATTTGAAGCCTCGTCTTGCTTTCCGACATGCCAGGCCAGCGTTTCATCCTCTTGTGTTGGTGCGAAGCAGGCTTGCACGGCGCTTCGCCAATCCCCACCACGTCACGTGCTGTCCGGTTCGCCGCCCTCCCCACCGGTGGCTGCGCGGGCTACTGAATACAAGACGGCCGTGGCTGAATGGCGATGCGGCGCTCCGGCCGCGTTAGTTGTCATTCTTGGCCGCTAAGTGGCAGCACTGGCGCTCATGCCGCTGAAGTCGCTGCACATCGCGCGCCATGCAAATCAAAACATTGGATCAAGGCTTGTAAGGCGTATGGACTTTCCTCACGTAATATCTACGCTAATATGTCATGGTGAAGGGTATGCAAAGACCCAGCAAAACGGCGGGATTTGCGCTTACTTAGTCCTAACATACCCCGCTGCCCCGCAGGTGGCAGGAGTTTATCAGTAGGCCTGCAGGTGGCGGATTTTGATAGCTACGTAGGTGTATCAATACAAGAAGGATACTGAATGCCAAACCATGACAGGTACTTATGTAACGGGATCGTAATGCTCATTAACACAATTTATTCAGCTTGATGACGGCACGGAAAGTCTGGCTTCTTTTCGTTTGTGTTGCTACCTGGGTGAAGTGTATTATTCTCCCTTGCAGTGCTTTTCTTACATGTCCGAGGCACATCAAAGCTCATAAAATTTTAAAAGTGCTTAATCGAAACTTCATGCTATGATACAACTATATATTGAACTAAAGATATGTGCTTGCGTGGCTTGTACCACTGACTTCGTTCGCTGACCACTTCAAAAGTGAGGCCGGAGAAGTCCTTGAAAAACAGCTTTGAGCCCCCAGCCATGCCTGTTGGCCCTAGCTCTGACAACACAATGACGAAAACGCATTTGCTTACGAAGTGGAAAAAAACGCCGATGACATATGGTACCGTTCAGGGCGATTATGTATTCAAGATATGAATGCCTCTTAGTCCTTCTGCGCCGGCGCACTAGAAATCCGCAGACAATGCGGCGAACGCGGCGGCAGGCACTCGGCTCCTTTTTACGCCTCCGCTCGCGGCGGAATGATGAGAAAGGGGGATTTAAACGGCATGCCGCTGCAGATGGACAGCGGAGATACGAAGGAGAGAAGAACGCTGCAAGGAGATAACCGCAAACAAAAACTGGCCCCACGCGGAGGAAAACGTCGCCGAATGTGGCTGTCGCCAGCGCCGCAGCGGGACCACCCGAAGGTCGGCTGGTGGGGACGTCGTGGCGGTCACGCGACAGGCGGGAGTCGCGTGACGGGCGGGTCTTCACGCCGCGATCTCACATCCGGCAGCGGTCTAGCGGCAGAGCCAGAGGGGTCGGTGCTCAGTTCTGAAGAACGCCTGCCCAACGAATGCATTTCGTGTCGGTGTGTAAGGTACAGTAAGGAACCATGCGAACAACCACCACCGCCGCATCAGTTCCCTATGTGAATTTTGAGAGCATCTGGTTGTCACCCTCAACCATAAACCTCATACACACTATCAAGCTGAATAGCAAGTGAATACCCCTCGCCACGTGCATTGATATACATGTAAATAAGCAACGCAAGCAATCATCGTGTTTTCACTTATGGAATTTTAGGAGTCCTGGATAAGTAGCAAAACAAATTTGCATTTGGTTTTCTGTGGCGATTGAGTAATCGCACGGCGGTGGTCTACGTCAGCGTACAGGCTTCGCAGGCGTCTACCCAATGATAAGGTCTGTCTCCATGATTGCATGGGACAATCGCAGGAAGCATACTTTCTGATGTTATGTTGTGAAGGTCATAATGCATTCTGACGATCGCTACATTCTTGGTTGAACCGCACGTAAACGTGGATGCATTTAGTTCTGAATATGTAAGAAATTTAAACTTCATTTTGTGGGCTGAAAGTTTTTCAAAAGCCACATGAGCTTCTGCAGCGATGGGGCCATGTTTATGAATATTGTTGATATTTGCTGTAACACTGCAGTATTGCATCCTGTAACTGCTGATCGCACCGCTAGGGTGATCAGTGGTTACAGGATACGGGTTTTGCAGCAAGTAATGCAATTATTTAGAATTTGCACTGCTAATGTTTTATAGATATTTAAATGAACCTGTTCAATCAGCCACCGCATTTTTTAAAAAATCAAGATGACCGTAGTCTGACATTTTTCGATTGACGCATGAAGCGTAAATTTTCCAACCATAAAAACGCTGAAAGATCGGGCTCCTGGTTCGGAAACGTGTCCACATATCGGTGGCCAGATGAAGCAACGACATGAGACTTACTCTGACGCCTGATGATACTGACAGGGCAGAGACGGAAGATATTCGGTTCCAAACGACCATTAAAATCCACAAAACTGCTTGTGAAAACCATAAAAAGCCTACAGGTCTTATTGCCCTTCGCTCTGCGGGTCATCGGGCCGAATATGGACACATCTGATTCAAGCTCAGCAACTGATGGCTGGCCGCGCACAAGATGACCGAGGACCAGAACAACAGCAAGCAGTGTTTCACCTCAGTGCGACCAAACGACAGAGGTTAAATATGATTCGCACTTGCTATCTCCCAGGAATCCAAGCAGCACGAGTTTGGTGGCAGCCTGGAGGACGCTGTTACCGCTTCACCACAAAGCAAGAACGGTAGGCTCGTGCACACATGTCTGTGTGGGGCCGGAGAATGGCTGATTACCCTGCAAACGTGAATGATTCTACGGGCGGCCCCCTATAAATTTGCGCTGCGAATGCGTGATGTGCCGCGATGACAGCTGCTGTTCATGGCTTCGAGGGAACACGATACTGGTGGGATCTGGTGGAACTGAACGTTCGTTTATATATGTGGTTACTTGATAGCGTCCTTGGACTGGAACTGCACTCTTTCCAGAGAAGGCCACATGTGATGTGTTTGCCTTTGCCGTCAAAATCCCGTGAAACGAGCAGCTGGCACAAAGTACATGACCAATAATCGTCCGGGAGATCCTTCCACCGACAAAAGAAGGAAAGACGTTCGTAACAGCGTAGTGCTTCTGACAAGATATGCGTGCGTGCGCATGCGTGGATCGCATTGGAACCTCTTATATTGATGCCGCCTTTCAGTGGCTTTTCAAGGAAGTGCTGTTCATATCGTTAACGGCTCATCGGAAAAATCGTGTCATACGGCAATTTACAGATCACGATGGACTGGGCACATCAGGCATCCAATGCTCTCCTCATCATCCATGACTAGATAGCATCTTTTTGTTGCCAGCTTCCCCTCCAATGTCCAGATCACAGGAGAAATCTTAGATGA